GGTAGCAGCTATCCACGAGCTGAAGCCGCCATCAAATCTGAAACAATTGCGGCAGTACATTGGAATGGCCTCGTGGTATCGACGCTTCGTACCGAATTTCGCCACAACGGTTGGGCCCCTCACCGAACTGCTGAAGAAAGGCCACAAGTGGAGTTGGGGAATGCAGCAGCAGAGAGCATTCGAGTGTATCCAGAGGCAGCTGATGGAAGCTCTGGTATTGGCGTGCCCCGATTTCACTCGACGCTTCTGCCTACAGACGGACGCCAGCGACGCAAGACATAGACGGCCACGAACACGTGATTTCCTACGCCAGTAGGAAGCTGAAGAAAGCGGAGGTCAACTACAGCGCCACGGAGAAGGAGTGCCTCGCAATTGTTTGGGGATTTCGAAAACTGCGACACTATTTGGAAGGCTACCATTTCACTATCGTGACCGATCACTTGGCGTTGCGTTGGCTCAACTCGATTGAGAGCCCCACCGGCCGCATCGCACGCTAGGCTTTGGAGCTGCAGCAGTACACCTTCGATGTCCAGTACCGAAAAGGAGCCTTGAATGTGGAGGCCGACGCACTGTCACGATAACGACGCGAGGTGATCGGCCGTGCACTCGTGGAGTCAGAGGCAGCACCAACTTGTAAATGGTTACAGCGGCTGATGGCAGCGGTGTTGGAGAGTCCCAGCAAGTACCCAGATTACGCCATACAGAACGACAGGCTGTACCGCCGCATCGCTCACGTGCTAGGAGAAGATGAGGTGTCACCATGGAGGCTATGCGTGGCCGCGCCTCTACGCAACGGCGGGCCATATGGGAGTACGCCGAACCTGTGCACGCGTTGCAGACCGATACCACTGGCCTGGTCTGTATCGCGACGTAGCGAAGTATGTGCACCAGTGTCTGTTGTGCCAACGCTATAAAGCCCAGCAACAGCTGACGGCAGGCAAGATGCACTTCAAACCAGCGGAGGCAGCGTGGGACGTCGTCTGCGCCGATTTTGTGGGGGCAACGCGTATCTACTGGTCCTGGTCGATAAGTTCAGTAAATGGGCAGAACTGGTCCCCATCCGCAAGGCGACGGCAGCGGCAGTGAAGCTGGCCTTGCGAGAGCGGATTCTGGTACGGTTTGGCACACCAAGAAAGCTCATTACAGACAATGGAGCCCAGTTTACGAGCCGCGCGCTGAAGCAGTTCCTCGCCGAGGCAGGCATACAGCAACAACTGACGGCACCATACACATTTCAGGAGAATCCCACTGAGCGGACCAATAGAACGGTCAAAACATTGATTGCTCAGCTGGCGGACAGGCAGCACAACACGTGGGACGAACAACTGCCGGAAGCACAATTGGCCATTAATACAGCAATTTCGGATGCAACGGGCTACTCACCGGCTTTCATCCTATTTGGGAGAGAACCACGGCATCCACACACACTGTACGGCAGGGATCCTGACGCCCCTGAGGCAGCACCAGGTAGCCCAGAAACACACGCGATGCTGCTACAGTTTGTTGCCCGCATAGCAAGAAGAAACCAAGGGGTGGCCAGCGAGGATCAGGCACGCCAGTACAATCTGCGGAGACGCGAGTGGCGACCCAAACTGGGCGGCGAGGTTCTCGTGCGACAACATCACCTGTCCAACGCAGCTGAGCAGTTTGCGGCCAAGCTGGCGCCTCGCTTCGATGGACCATTCACGGTGCGAGCGTTTATATCCCCAGTCATAGTGCGTGTGCGACCAGTGGCGGTCGGCAGAGGTAGACCGGCGCATGTGCGGGATCTAAAAGCGGTGAATGCAGAAGACAGCGAAGCCGACGAAGGCAGCGACGACAGAGGCAGCGTTAGTATGGTCACCAGGACCACGCCACCGACAGCTTCACAGCAGCCACAGCAGTCCATTGATCAGCGACCACAACAGCAGCCGCAACACCAATCTCCGCAGCCACAGCGGCAGTCCGGGCCACTAAATCGGCCATGTCAACGAAGACGACGACAGCAGCCGCGGTCGCAACAGCTGCACGACAGCCACGACAGCAGTTACAGCAGCCAGGGCCCTATTGGCCACACCAACAGCAACAACAGCAATGCAACTGGCGTCCACTCAAGCGGGAGCGGCAAAGTGGCCGTTCTGGCCGAAGAGGACACCCATGTAAGCCTAAGACATAATTAGACAAAACTTGTTGTTACGTTTCAGGCCTGGTGAAGCGACATACATTACCACACCAGTCGAGATACCCAGACCGCGCAAAATATGCCAGGGGCACCGCGGACGGACAAGGACCGGGCGGGCAGCTGGACAAACACGACGAAAAGGAGGTTGGGCACAACGCAGAAAAATAGCCCAGGACCGGAAGCCAAGCACAACATAAACATGTGCGCGGTGATGTCGAGTTGCCAGAGCGACAGGTGGCCGTCGATAACGAGTTATCGTGGAGATGCGATAAGTGGCAGAACCGACCACTATCGCTGCGAGTGGTAACACCGACGATAGACCGCCGGGCATGGGTAGCACTGGCAAACCGCGAGAGGTGGCAGCGCTAACTAAACAGCTGTCACAACAAGATTACACGAGGAGACCGGCGCGTCGAAAGGAAAAATTGAAGAAAACAATATAAACTCAAAAGGGAAAAAACGACGAAACATGGACGCGGAAAGGGGCTACGAGGACCTGGAAGAGTGGCACAGACTGCAAAAACAGATGGCATTCGACCGGGACCCGCGGAACTGCCAGTTCCGGGCGCCCGCCCGAGCAAGCTCACCGACGCCGGCAGGCAACCGACGTCGCCGCCGTGGGCACCGCGGGGGCCGTCGAGTGAGAGAGCGACGCCAACGGATACAGCAGGCGCGGCTGGAGGTGCAGCAGCGAGAGCAACGCCAACGGGCACAACAGGCGCGGCTGGAGGAGCAGCAGCGCGATGAGAGGCTGCGGCGTCGGGAGCAGCGAAAACGCGAGCGGCGCGAGGAGCAGCAGCGGGTGGAAGGGGCCATACGAGACGTGGAGGCGCGTCTGACATACGCCAGATGCCTGCAGGAGCTGCAGGAGAGGTGCGGCGGCTCCACAAAGCTCCTTGCTTGGGCGAAGTTTTCACCGGCGGAGGCGCATGGCTTGCGGCGGATGGCCGAAGAAGGAAGGCTTCCGATGGTGGCGTTGGCAGCCACCCCCCTCAACCGGATCGTGTTCCGCTCAGGAAGGAGGAACGTGCCCCGCTCAGGAAGGGGGGACGTGTAATGACGCGTTGCGTAGCGGGCAGCCGCGCGTCATTACGAGTAGTTGTAAGATAATGAGTATGTTTGTAAAGATTAAGAAGCCATGAAGGCAAGTAATTTTAAGTTCAGTGAGTTAGTTCTCTTTTGGCTTCTGCCCAACGCGCACTGAAGCGCTCTGTATTATTTGGAATTAAAGCAACGTCATAAAAAAGACACGTGGAAAAGTTTTGGCATACCGCCCTCTTTTTATTTGTTGGACACCTCGGCACTTTGGGGTGCCTAATTTATTTCAGCATACTCTGGCCGGCGAGCATACCCGCGGCAGAGTAACAACGTTACACGTTTGGCTTTGAGACTTGTTAATAGTTAACGCGAAAGATGTTTTTGCCGGAAATTGAAGCAGTTTCAATGTGATTGTCAGTTGGGATCATCGGTATCCTCGGTATATGAGCCAGTTGACCAGCTTCTGGACCGATGATAATGGTCGCTACAATTAAATTGTCCTTCCTAAATAAGCAGCCTCATCCCATTGCACATAATCGCATGGTTTTAATTTTTCAATAGCATTGTTGGAATTCTTATTTTGAACTTAAATTCATGTGGCTGCAGTCCAGAAGGGCTTAGTGAAATTAATAATTCCTATGGGTAAATATTGTGTCCTCGATATAAGTCACGGTGTTCAACGATTTGGGATTACGAATTCTAGCCGTTGAATTCTGTTTCGTTTCTCTTTAGCGCGAGCTTGTAAACTCCTAATATTTTGATCTTCAAGTATCTACAAACGTTCCATACTCTAGGTTCTTAAATTTTGTTCAGCAAGCGCTGCGAGTCGATAATCGACACTCTTGAACGCGATTGCGATTCTCTCTGGCTTGCAAGAAGATAATCTTTTTGTAGAAGATTCTCCATTATGACATCTTTTTGAATCCCTCGCCTGAGAACTATTTCGAGAAAGTTGCGATCATTTTCCTTTGGGCATTTAGGCATGATGAAAAAATAAACTGACGATTTAAGGCCATTAATAGAATTCACTGTTTCTGGTAGGCCTTTATACCAATTCAAAGTGATGCCATATGGCCTTTGCAATGCGCCGTCTGCAATGTGTCGTCTAATGGATGATATCATTCCCCCTGATCTTCTCCATTGTGTTTTTGGTTACTTAGATAACGTTTGTATTATTTCTGAAGACTTTTCTTCCCAGCTTTCAGTGTTGCTTCGTCTTGCAGAACAATTGCGTAATGCAAATTTAACACTAAATATTGAAAAAAGTCAATTTTGTGTGAATATTGTTAAATACTTAGGTTACGTTATTGGCAGCGGTGGCATTGAGTGTATTTTAAATTGGCCACCACTTCGAAATAACAAGCAAATTATGCAGACTTGACATGCCCCATCACTGAAATGTTGTCAAATAAGAAGTTTGTCATGAAATACGTGAAAACCATTTTGACTTTACGGCTCCTGTGTTGCAAAATCTAGATTTCGGCAAGAATTTTTATCTTCACTGTGATGCTAGTAACTTCGGAATAGGCGCTGTGCAACTGCATTTATGTCAAAAAAATCAAAAAAAGTCGTACACAACGCAATTATAGCGTTACAGAACGAGAATGTCTAGCTGTTATTTTATCCATTGAAAAGTTTAGGTGCACTGCCTGGAATGTGTGATGATGCATTAGCAGAATTAACAGTAGTTCCTATAATTGAATTGGAATCTAAGGCATTATTTATCAGATTATAAGAAATTGAAAGAAAAGTTCACTCTGCAACAATCCAAATTTCCTGACGTTAAAATTGTAAGGACAAGTTTATTTTGTCAATAATATCTACATTTCGAAAGCTAAATTAACCACGCATAATCTATATAAAATTATATTGTTGTTTTAAATTTCATCTTCATCGGTCAATTCTAAGAAAACGTATACCCTGTACCTGTAGAGTAAAAAGGGTATATTAGGATGATGAGAGACTTCGATCTGGACATGTCCGTCAGTCCGTCTGTATGAACGGTACTACACCCACAAGCTGCAGCATCAAGTTCGCTCTTCTTCCTTTTGCTTCTGCTAGAGGCGCATATACCTCAGTGTCGGAAGTTTACCTGGGTACTGGGTACTTGACTGTACTGTACTGCATTCTCTCTTGTTAGGCCGAGTTTTTGTAAGCCTACCTGCTGCTCTTGTACCCTATGCTCATTTCTGAGCTCTTGTTCACTTTTGTGAACAGATGCTGTAACGGAGCATGTCCTGAATTTTATGCTTCAATTTTAAAAGATTCTTATTACTTCAGAAACTTTCGTTAGTTTTCAGGAAACACAACTGTGTTACACAAATTAAAACACAAAACATATTTTTACCTTTTTTGGATGTACATACAAAATTTTCCACATTTTTCTTTTTGCAACAACATGTCTCTACTGCGCGATTGTTCCAAATTGTTTTGTTTTATCAAGCCGATGCGTTCTATAATGGGAGTACGTCACTACGTTCGCTCAGTTAATATGTGTGCCATCTTTGACGTAGACACAGCCCAAGATTTTGAAATGCGTGTGAAGCGCAGCGAGAAGCCCGTTATTGTGGACTTCCATGCCGGGTAAGTGCCCAATTCCGATGATGTTAATCGATTCATTTTTGGTCACTATTTGTTTTAGGTGGTGCGCGCCCTGCAAACTGCTAGCCCCACGGCTCGAAAATATTGTGGGAGAGAAGGGCGGCGAGATCTGTTTGGCCAAAGTGGATATCGATGAGCACAGCGAACTGGCCTTGTACTACAAAGTAGGTGCGGTTCCATCCCTGCTGGTCATGCAAAATGGAAAGGTGCTTAACCGCATGGAGGGTCTGCAGACTACAGATGCCATCCGCGATTGGATTAACCAAGCTGTGAAGAGTCGGAAGAAGATAAGGCGCGTGGAGGAAGACGACGATGAGGACACTGAGTACTCGTAGATTGGCTGACATTTCTACCACATTTGACTATGAAAATCATGTTGGAAAAATATCAATGGGTTGAAAATACACTAGAAAACGCGTATATTTATCATTAAATTGTAAAGAAGTTATTTTTCCAGCTGAGGTAATGCTCAGCTGTCCAGGATCCCTTACAAGAACATTTGTAAGTTGCGAGACCTTGCGACCAAAAGGGCTCGATGCACGCTGTAGGGGACTATTGGCAGCGACACGTAGAATTTGCGTTCACTGGTTGATGCCCGATGAACGAAAGTTCGACGCATCTACCAAACTGCCGCCGTCTTGCAATTGTGGTTAACGACACTGCAATTACAAGACGTCACCAATCTGGCTCTGCCGATTTCGTGGTTTATAACACCTTAGCGTTATATCTGCCTGTTAATGGCCTTAATGGAAATGGGGGACTTACATGGATTTTATTTGATCGTGTAAGGCTTTGCGGCTGATACTCACACGTCTATTCGCTGCTGTGGTCACTGGAGAAGAGAGCTAGCTTACATTTTTGCTCGCCCTTCTAACCTCGTTTTTCTTGCAATATACTAATTATAACTAAATATTTAACTTCATGTGTTCCTGTTTAGTCTTAGCGTAATATAACAATGTGTAATATTAGAATAATAAGAAAATAACAAAATATGGAGTCTTAGATCTATAAATATTCAATGAAAACTTAAGGCTAGTAAAACAATGTGCAATATTCAAGTGTGCAATAGAAACTTAGGCTAGTAATACAATGTGCAATATTCATCTGTGCATTATAATAGAAACTTAGGCTAGTAACAATGATTAGATGAGGTTGTTGCTAATAGAAAACAAAAGCTGGTCGTGGCCTTTGTTGAAAGATCGTGGACAAATGAAAAAGTAAACAAAAACAAACAGTAATACGGAGCATACAGAAATTTCTACACAAATATGTGTGATTAAGTCTAAACTTTGGTTTATGTGTTTGTGTTCCCAGAATAACATTTTTGATATGTGAATTATGCCAATGACTGCAAAGTAATAGAAACACTGGCAATTGTAATGGTCTGCTGTGTAATGGTCTTGTGGATTTAATTTACATCACAATGTTTGCATATGCTGTTTTGCATATGCTGTTTTTCTATCAAAAACATACTATCGGAATTTCTTCTTCATACAGACAAATGCTGCGACACGCAGGGCGTCATTACATGCGGGATGGCTGTAGACCCATAAGGCGTGCATGTAGTTGTTGTTGATATGTACTGAATTCTATAGTACTGTAAGTAAGAAACGTGGTTTGGGTTTAGTTTTAGGTTAGTCGGAGTCTGGAGGCGTTCAGGAGTGGACGTTTAATGTCAGGCCTTGTTTGTTAATTAAAACATGTATATATGAAAATCGCAACCGCGGCTTTCACTATTTGCACTTTGGAGTGTCCATAAGTATATTAGGTTTGCGCGAGCTGAAAAATGTTACGGGCAGAAGAAGGCGTGACAGACCTCACAAAGTAAATATAGACTTGATCAGCATGACAAGACGAGTCGATCTACTTCTATCTGGCTGTCTGGCTGTCTGTCTGTCTGTCCGTCCGTCCGACCGTGCGTAAGAACACCTGGATCTCAAAGGCTATAAGAGCTAGAGACACCAAATTTTGTACAAATGTGCCTTATGTGAGTACGCTGTAAAAGTTAGTTTTATTTTTTTGATAAGAAAGTTACCATACTGTGGTCCGTTTCCTTTCGAATATCTTCAGTGAATTTAATTTATGATTTAACACAATGTCTATCATTTCTAAAGCCCGATTGTTTGTAGCTCAAGAGTGATTTTTCCAACATTTATTAATTTGTTTCGACATCAGGTGTTCAAGTGCTTTCGTAAGAAATGGTAGAATTGAGATTGGCCTAAAGCCATTGCATATAACATACACCCTTATTGGTGATATGAGTTACTAAAAAATAATAAAATCATAAACATAGTTTGAATATTAGTATATTATTGATTTTTTTTTGTTCATCATTAGTTAGAGCTTCCCTATATATGATATTTGATGTAATATTATTTTATGGCAGCAAAATAAATTGATTTTCAGGATCATCAACCCGCGATAAGCCAACATAGAGTTGGCCATGAGTAAAAAATACCTTTCGTAGGTCGATTCCAACAAATTCGAACGTTTGGCTTTGAGACTTGTTAATAGTTAACGCGAAAGATGTTTTTGCCGGAAATTGAAGCAGTTTCAATGTGATTGTCAGTTGGGATCATCGGTATCCTCGGTATATGAGCCAGTTGACCAGCTTCTGGACCGATGATAATGGTCGCTACAATTAAATTGTCCTTCCTAAATAAGCAGCCTCATCCCATTGCACATAATCGCATGGTTTTAATTTTTCAATAGCATTGTTGGAATTCTTATTTTGAACTTAAATTCATGTGGCTGCAGTCCAGAAGGGCTTAGTGAAATTAATAATTCCTATGGGTAAATATTGTGTCCTCGATATAAGTCACGGTGTTCAACGATTTGGGATTACGAATTCTAGCCGTTGAATTCTGTTTCGTTTCTCTTTAGCGCGAGCTTGTAAACTCCTAATATTTTGATCTTCAAGTATCTACAAACGTTCCATACTCTAGGTTCTTAAATTTTGTTCAGCAAGCGCTGCGAGTCGATAATCGACACTCTTGAACGCGATTGCGATTCTCTCTGGCTTGCAAGAAGATAATCTTTTTGTAGAAGATTCTCCATTATGACATCTTTTTGAATCCCTCGCCTGAGAACTATTTCGAGAAAGTTGCGATCATTTTCCTTTGGGCATTTAGGCATGATGAAAAAATAAACTGACGATTTAAGGCCATTAATAGAATTCACTGTTTCTGGTAGGCCTTTATACCAATTCAAAGTGATGCCATATGGCCTTTGCAATGCGCCGTCTGCAATGTGTCGTCTAATGGATGATATCATTCCCCCTGATCTTCTCCATTGTGTTTTTTGGTTACTTAGATAACGTTTGTATTATTTCTGAAGACTTTTCTTCCCAGCTTTCAGTGTTGCTTCGTCTTGCAGAACAATTGCGTAATGCAAATTTAACACTAAATATTGAAAAAAGTCAATTTTGTGTGAATATTGTTAAATACTTAGGTTACGTTATTGGCAGCGGTGGCATTGAGTGTATTTTAAATTGGCCACCACTTCGAAATAACAAGCAAATTATGCAGACTTGACATGCCCCATCACTGAAATGTTGTCAAATAAGAAGTTTGTCATGAAATACGTGAAAACCATTTTGACTTTACGGCTCCTGTGTTGCAAAATCTAGATTTCGGCAAGAATTTTTATCTTCACTGTGATGCTAGTAACTTCGGAATAGGCGCTGTGCAACTGCATTTATGTCAAAAAAATCAAAAAAAGTCGTACACAACGCAATTATAGCGTTACAGAACGAGAATGTCTAGCTGTTATTTTATCCATTGAAAAGTTTAGGTGCACTGCCTGGAATGTGTGATGATGCATTAGCAGAATTAACAGTAGTTCCTATAATTGAATTGGAATCTAAGGCATTATTTATCAGATTATAAGAAATTGAAAGAAAAGTTCACTCTGCAACAATCCAAATTTCCTGACGTTAAAATTGTAAGGACAAGTTTATTTTGTCAATAATATCTACATTTCCGAAAGCTAAATTAACCAACTTTTCACGCATAATCTATATAAAATTATATTGTTGTTTTAAATTTCATCTTCATCGGTCAATTCTAAGAAAACGTATACCCTGTACCTGTAGAGTAAAAAGGGTATATTAGGATGACGAGAGACTTCGATCTGGACATGTCCGTCAGTCCGTCTGTATGAACGGTACTACACCCACAAGCTGCAGCATCAAGTTCGCTCTTCTTCTTCCTTTTGCTTCTGCTAGAGGCGCATATACCACAGTGTCGGAAGTTTACCTTGACTGTACTGTACTGCATTCTCTCTTGTTAGGCCGAGTTTTTGTAAGCCTACCTGCTGCTCTTGTACCCTATGCTCATTTCTGAGCTCTTGTTCACTTTTGTGAACAGATGCTGTAACAACTGTATTACACAAATTAAAACACAAAACATATTTTTACCTTTTTTGGATGTACATACAAAATTTTCCACATTTTTCTTTTTGCAACCACATGTCTCTACTGCGCGATTGTTCCAAATTGTTTTGTTTTATCAAGCCGATGCGTTCTATAATGGGAGTACGTCACTACGTTCGCTCAGTTAATATGTGTGCCATCTTTGACGTAGACACAGCCCAAGATTTTGAAATGCGTGTGAAGCGCAGCGAGAAGCCCGTTATTGTGGACTTCCATGCCGGGTAAGTGCCCAATTCCGATGATGTTAATCGATTCATTTTTGGTCACTATTTGTTTTAGGTGGTGCGCGCCCTGCAAACTGCTAGCCCCACGGCTCGAAAATATTGTGGGAGAGAAGGGCGGCGAGATCTGTTTGGCCAAAGTGGATATCGATGAGCACAGCGAACTGGCCTTGTACTACAAAGTAGGTGCGGTTCCATCCCTGCTGGTCATGCAAAATGGAAAGGTGCTTAACCGCATGGAGGGTCTGCAGACTACAGATGCCATCCGCGATTGGATTAACCAAGCTGTGAAGAGTCGGAAGAAGATAAGGCGCGTGGAGGAAGACGACGATGAGGACACTGAGTACTCGTAGATTGGCTGACATTTCTACCACATTTGACTATGAAAATCATGTTGGAAAAATATCAATGGGTTGAAAATACACTAGAAAACGCGTATATTTATCATTAAATTGTAAAGAAGTTATTTTTCCAGCTGAGGTAATGCTCAGCTGTCCAGGATCCCTTACAAGAAAATTTGTAAGTTGCGAGACCTTGCGACCAAAAGGGCTCGATGCACGCTGTAGGGGACTATTGGCAGCGACACGTAGAATTTGCGTTCACTGGTTGATGCCCGATGAACGAAAGTTCGACGCATCTACCAAACTGCCGCCGTCTTGCAATTGTGGTTAACGACACTGCAATTACAAGACGTCACGTTTATAACACCTTAGCGTTATATCTGCATGGACTTACATGGATTTTATTTGATCGTGTAAGGCTTTGCGGCTGATACTCACAC